TACTCAGGAGGCTGAGATCTGAGGATCACAGTTCAAAGCCAGCCCAGGCAGGAAAGTCTGTGAGACTCTTATCTCCAATAAACCACCAGAAAACCGAAAGTGGTGCTGTGGCTCAAGTGGAAGCTCCAAGACTGACAAACAAAACAAAACAAAACAAAACAAAACAAAAAAACCTCTAAAAAAACTAATAAAAGACAAAACCAAACAGAACAAAACCTTTTGGTGCTTTCCAGAGTGTTCTTAGGTAGCTTACCTTCCGACAGCAAATTGAGGGCAGCCTTACCCGCAGAGAGAATTGGATTCAGGTCTGAATAGCAGTGCCGGCTTATCACATGGCCCCCCAAGGTCTAAGAAGAAAGAGTTTACAGCTCAGTCAGTCTCTCCATTCTCCTCTCCCCTCCCCGCAGGGGCGTGTGTTATGATTTCAGTGTCATGGAAAGGTCAAGAAAGGGCTTGGTCAGGTCTGAGAGGACGTGGGTGTCAGGGACACCCTCTGCACAGCACCTCTCCACCAGAAGTGGAGAAGAGTGGGGGTCACTTTACAAAGGCCCTTCCCTGGCATTTGACATGATACACATTCCATTTAACCTCTGGCATGTCTGCTTACACCAAGCCTCACAATGACCCAGTGAAGGGGAGGCTGTTAGTCCTAATTTCATGGGGAAAGACAACATGGCGTAGAGAAATCGTACAACTTGACCAACGGCCATCAGATAGGATATGAGGCTCAATGGCCAAGGAGCCAGGGATACACAGGATCTTCAGCTTCATTTCTCACATACTTGGAAATGACCAGACTTCACATGGGCTAGGTACTGGGCATCTACGCCATGGTAGAAAGATGCTTCTACCATCTCTAAACTTGGAATACGAATGACAGGACACTCAACTCAGTGCCGTCCTCCCCATGAAAGGAGGGACCTGCGGTGGCCTGTCACTTGCTATAGTCTGGGCTGGAATGCGGGGAAGGCCAGAGAACCCACAGCTTCATATTAAAGTTCTTTGGTTCACTCTGCCTGCCTGGACTCTCACCTATGGACCATTCTTCCACCTTTTGTGATCCTGTGTAATAATCCATCGGCAGGAGTCTGTAAATGATGGAAGATGCCTCTAATTCCCCCCACGGCCCCCCCATTGCTTCTCCTATTCCTTCTTTTGACGTGTTCTACTCCCTTACTCTTCTGCCATTGTCTCTCCAGAGGCTATGAGGGGTCTGGTCAGAGGTATTTTTTTTCCCTTATTCTTTTTTTTTCCTGTGCCAGTACTAGGGCTTGAACTCAGGGTATAGACGAGGTTCTTTAACGTTTTTTTGCTCAAAGCTCGTGATCTGCTACTTGAGCCACAGCTTCACTTCTCGCTTTTCAGTGGTTAATTGGTGACAAAAGACTCACAGACTTTTCTGCTTGGGCTGGCTTTGAACCATACCTTCAGATCCCAGCCTTTTGAGTAGCTAGGATTATAGGTGTGATCCATTGGCACCTGACTTGGTCTGAGTTCTTGATTTCAGAGAACGTTTGAAATCATTCCTTGAGAACGTATTATTTTTTTTGAAAGGAAACACCTCCTCATACAATTCTTCAGACCAGAAGGGTATGCAGGCAAAAGAGCATGTAAAATTTGAAAATCTAATCATGATCATTTTTCTGTCTTCTGTCCATCATTCTCCAGCTGGGATCTCAGCAGTCTAGATTACAGAAGGCTAGCCTTCTTGTTTTAGACAATATATCTGCATGAATGACACCTAAGTATATTTGATTCTTTGGCAGGCTTCTCATGAAATTAGCGAAACCAAGCACCTGTGCAGCTGCTTAGCAACTCTGTTGAATATGACATTGATGTCTCTTCCAAATATTCTATTAACTCACATTTGTTAATTTAAAATATTTATTCACTGTGCCTGTTGTTTCAAGCTGCTGGGGCCTTTCGCAATACTGATTCTGCTAATAGGTATATTTAACATTTTAAACAAGAAAGAAGCTCAGGGTACCCAGTGATTGACAAGAGGGAACCTACTGCCATATTCCGGATCTGCTGGCCTGCCAGGCTCCACAGGTGCTTCAGGAGGGCCTGGTAGGTCCGAGTTTTCTCCTTTGGGAGCTCAGAGATGCTTTCAGCCAAGATGTCCTTCACTTGTGCCAGGCTGCAACCAGCACCGATAGTCAGACCTGGAAAGCAAATTGGCTTTGTGGGTGACATGGGGGGGGCGGGGAGCAGTAGCATTGTCATCATGATACTGAGCTACATGGTTGGGTGAGTGTTCAACTAGTGTGTCACTCTTGGCTTCTCAAAGAATCACTAGGAACTCAAAACCACATAGATGTCTGCTCCCAGATCAACTATGTCAAGAGATTTAAAGTCCCAAGCCTAGGGCTGGTTCTCTGAGGAGCACTGGCCAATCAGAATAAACATGGCCCAAGCAAGCAGCTGGCCCAGGCATTCTGTTGGTGTCATTGGGTGTGGTGAAGTTGGGGGGTGGGGGTGGTGAGGGAGCAATGCGCCAGAGCTTCCAGGACAATTAGAACAAGGCTATTTGCTAACTCGCCACAATGTGATCCAACGTTTGTAACATTTGTTACAGCCAAACTTGCAAGTATTGTTGGGACATTAGCTAGAACGGCAGGGTTTCAACTTCATCTTTTAAAGGAAAGTGGTTTGCTAGTCACTAGTGGCACACAGCTGGGTACTGGTAGCTCAAATCTGAGGATCTTGGTTTGAAGCCAGCCCAGCTGGTACGGGTGGCTGGTGCTGGTGGCTCATGCCTGTAACCTCAGCTACTTAGGAGGCTGAGATCTGAGAATGATGGTTTGAGGCCACCTTGAGCAGGAACGCTTGTGAGACTCTTATCTCCAATTAGCTACCAAAAAGCCAGAAGTGCAATTGTGGCTTACATGAAAGAGTGCTAGCCTTGAGCAAAAAAATCCCACATGCTCCCTCAGTCTGGTCTTTAACTTCTGCAAAAAACCTGACCTTATTTTTCTGGGACATGGGAAAGTCAGTCCTGTTCCTGTCATATGCTTTCTTTTCTCTTAAAAAAATAAAGAACCTAGGCCTTGTTAATTGGGAGAACCAAGACATAAAATCTTCTGAGTGTTATTAAGGTTCAAGAGCTTCTCATGCTGAGCCCTAGTGGCTGTAATCCTAGCTATTCAGAAGGCTGAGATCTGAGGATCACAGTTCAAAGCCAGCTCAGGCAGGAAAGTTCATGAGACTCCAATTAACCACCAGAAAACCAGATGTGGCACTGTGACACAAAATGGTAGGGCATTAGCCTTGACTCAGAATCAGAGTCAGAGCCCAGGACCTGATTTCAAGCCCCATGACTGAAAAAAAAAAAAAGAGCTTCTCACAGACTAGCTCTTCTGCCTCTTTTCTGACACAGGTAGGAAAGGATGGTTCAACCCCAGTTGAGAGTGAAATGCCAGCTGCCACCTGAATTATCAGACTTCAAATCATGTTGAGGGCAGCCAATCTACTTTGGGGTTTTGTTTGATCATTTCCGTTGTTTATCTTATTTCCGCACCTTGTTTCAGTTGTTTTACTTATAATTTTATTATTTCATCTTGCTCATGAAACCTAGCTTATATGTTGGTGGAGAAAGGAAGAACTACTTTGCTTGATTCATTTTAACTCAAGGCTTCTCATAGTTCCTGGGCCAATGAGAAAAATACTCAGCAACTTTCTGAAGCACTTTATACCAAATATTTTTGATGGAAAAATATATTGAACCAGATGTGTATATGATATGGATGAAATGTTAACATTTGGGTGGGGGGGTGGGGAGGGGAGGCTGGGAAGAGATGGGAAGGGGAAACAAAGGAGGAGGCTTCAATGCTTGATAAGAAATGTACTCATTATCTTGCCCATGTAATTGTAACCCCTCTGTACAGTATTTTCACAATAAAAAAAGAGAAATGTTAACATTTAAAGACATCCAAGGTAAAATTATGGCTGAGGGTTCTTGTAGGGGCCGGTCTTGCTCCAGTTTACCCAGTAGAAAGTGTCTTCTGGATCACAGGATTTTTAAACATGGAAGCTTCCCATCGGTCACTAGAGGGCACTCATGCTTTACTCTTAAGAGGTTCAGAGGCAGGCCAAGGGTTGCTTATATTTCAGAATCTGGCTTTCTTTGGTTCCCAGGACCAAAGTGAATACCAAAAGCAAATAGGCATGGGATGGGAGGTGGGCTGGGCCCTTGGGAGGTGGTGGCAGCAGTAACTTTTTTCTTTTTTTTTCCTACTTAGAAAATTTATTGAACATTATTCTTGCATCACACTTAAGAAAAACAATGTTCCCTGAAGGCACCCTTCATTTCATATGATTGGTATTTTTTGTAGTAAAAATACAATTAAATATGAAATTAGTAAAAGGCAGAATATAAAACTTCATGCTGAGCAAAAACAAGTCCAAAAAAAGTCACCATATATCCACAGACTATTTCCTATGGTACATGTTTTCTATGTAAATTATATCTTAATGCAATTTTTAGAACCATATTTAAATAGCTTTGCAATTTGTTAATTGTAGGTATCCTGTTTTTTTTTCCACCACATAATATACTGCTTATATTAAAATTGGCTATACCTGCTATGATCCACACAATGTAACCAAAAGCTTTTCTTTTTTAAAGAACTGCAGTTATTTCTCAAGATTTGAGAAATCTGGTCCACCTTTTGTGTAGTTTCCTGAGATTTCAGCTCCACTGAAGTCAAAGCCAGGACTTTCTTTTTGGAACCTCTCTAATGTGAGCTTTCTCTGAATTTGGTCTTGTACCCAAGGATCAGCGGCATATTCAGATTCTAGAAGGGAAGTCCAACAGTTGGCTGCGTCTCTCTTTGTCTTTGTAAGAACAATGCGGACCATTTTTCTATCCTCCAAAGTCCATGTTCGCTCATCAACTATAGTGGAATCAAAGAGCTTGCCCTGAGTTCGTTTTTCTGTTTCCATGTCCATTTAGGACACGGACAGGATCCGGTGTGAAGGAACTGGGACCCAGAAAAGTGGACAGCCAAAGCACGACGGCACCAGGCTGGAGCGAGCAGGGCAAGGAGCTAACTCCTCACGGATAACGACGCCCAAAGGGCGCCGGCCCACACGGTTGATTGCGAGCAGCCGTGATTTTTTTCAATTGGGAGTTAGAGTCCTGCTATCTTTAGGATATCAGGTGGGAGTGTTTTGCCAGTCTATTTTTATTTTATTTTTTTTTTCATCTGAGTTTCTTCATCTAAAAAGTTAAAGCTTGAGTTCTCTGAAGGACCTTTAGGGATAGAAATAGTGGACTTCCTTTTTTTCTTTCTTTTTCCTCTTCTATTTTGTGGTGTTGGGGTTTAAACCCATGATTTTGTACTTGCTAGGCAGGCTCTCTACCACTTAAACCATGACCCCAGTCCTCTATGCTCTAGTGGTTTTTCAGAGAGGTTTTCACACTTTTTCTTGGAACGGTGAGCCTCCTCCTCCTGCCTCCGCTTGGCTGTGATGAGAGGTGTGGGCTCCTTTTCAGCTCCTTTGTTTTTTTTTTAACTGTATTTGTTTTATTTAAGACTTGAGGACAGTGTTGTAGTATTGCTTTCTTTTTGAGACAGGGTCTTGCTATGCAGTTCTGGCTGGCTTTGAACTTGAGATCTTCCTGCTTTAGCCTCCTCAGTGTTGGGATTATAGTCATGTACCATTATACCTGGCAGGGTCATAGTGTTGAAGAGAAGCTTGAAAACAGGAAGGCTAAGTACAGCCTGGAGAAGACCATCAAAGTCTTCCTGACTTAATTTTCTGCTTAGAATGCTTGTGTTTGCCATACTCTGCCCATTTCTCTATCTCTTCCTCTACTCTCCCTTTGGCTCATGCAAGGTATGAGCAATTCACACCCAAATTGCTACAAGATTGAAGCTGGACAAGATCTAAAAAAGGCGACCTTCCTTTGTCAATGGGTGGAGCCAGGCCAGGGAAGAGCAGGCTTGCTGGTCTGCCGTGCAACCTGATTAGCTGATGTTGGTTGGTGGCCAGGAAGATAGGACTCTTGTGGAGATTCAGCCATGGTGGATCCCCTCCTTTGACCACAGCTGAACTTCCTCAACATGTATCTGATGCCCTACAAGCCATTCTAGACGAAAGCTTTTAGTTCTATCAACCTCCCCATTACCTAAGTTAAAGTCACCATTACCACTGCATTTTGTTAGACCCATTCATTATTGTTTTCCTATGGACTATTGATAAGCCATTGACTGAGCACATACATTCACATACAGGGCTAGGAGCTCTGTGGAACAATAAGAAAAAAAAAACAGGTCCACTCTCTATTGGGTTTGCCATTCACTTGACTAAGAATTCTTATATATTTGTCCTACTTTGTGAATTCCACTTTGCTGGATAGTTCTCCATCTAATGGGTTCTTAAGGGTTTTGTAAACTACTGGGGGTGATTGCCTCCCGACTTTTGTTCCATTTGGCTTTTTACCTTTGTTCCCATGAGACAAACGGCATGTGAGTGCAGGACAATTATTTCTCTCACTTGTCCCTGGGACTTGACTCAGGCAGGGCTCGGGAGCCGGTTTTTGCTCAAGGCTAGCACTCTACCACTGCGAACCATAATTCCACTTCCAGTTTTCTGGTGGTTAATTTGGAGTTAAGAGTTCTCACAGACTTTCCTGCCTGGATTGGCTTTCAGACCACGATCCTCAGATCTCAGCCTCCTGAGTAGCTAGGATTTCAGGCATGCACTGCCAGCACTAGGCTCACCATGGGATTTTATAAGCAAGAATCCTAAAAGTGAGTGCAAGGTGTTGAGTGATAACACTTGGATATCTCATATCAGCCAGAAGGGTTTGGACAATGGGACTACCTATTCTTACATTAGGAAAATGATGAAGAGTTGGAAACAGGCCACACAAGACAAACGGATGCTGAAGTATGACTTACTTGGTAAGTGTAAGTTAGGGTGGAGATCACTCACTGACTTGACTTCACTATAGTCATGGGGCACTCACCATCACCGGTCTTAGTGACCATCTTCAGCTCAGGAATCCTAGCAGGGGAGAGGAGAATCGGGTAAAAGTGTCCTCTGGATTTCATTGCAGGTCCTGAGGAGTACATGCATTTTTAGAGACTGTTAGGGAAGAGAAAATGCCTCTGCTTTGTTAAATCTTTTCATAAAGGAAACCCCTCATATAAAAAGTTTAAATATTAGGTGGACCTGTTGCAACAATGAGAAGTACAGGTTGTCATGTCCAAAACGAGCTTTACAACGTCGGTGCGGGGGGGGGGGAGGGGGAGGGGGGGGGGGGGAGGGGGGAAGGAGAAGGATTGGGATTGGGGGGGGGAGGGGGGAAGCTGGTAAGTGATGTGAAGGGTAAAGAAAGGAGGAGGCTGCAATGCTTGTTAAGAAATGTACACATTATCCTGCCCATGCAATTGTAACCCCTCTGTACAGTATGTTCACAAATAAAATAAAATTAAATTAAAAAAAATAAAAATCTTGAATATAATCTCATCCATTTAATGGGGTGAGTCAAATATAGACCATCACACAGATGAAAAAAAAATTTAAATATTGACAATAAGCAGAAAAGCAATGACCATATACCCCTGCCAAGCAAATGTATAGAGCATACTGCCCCAGTAGAAGAATTCACTTATTTATATACATACCACACTTACATAGAAATGGGAAATAAATAGGGCCAAGAGCTCTTACAAAGCTCTTACTCAGAGGCACCAGACCATATTGTATATAAAGATATTTGTGGGGATGGATATGTAGCTTAGTGTTAGAACATTTGCCTGGTATGAACAAGGGTCTGGATTTGATCTCCAGTCCTCTGAGAAAGAAGAAGTAGGAGAAGAGACTCAAAAGGGCATTCGAAATAGCCTAGACTTGGAAATATCTGGAGTTGCTTTAACAGATTCCTTTCCATAATACAATGGAGGGACAAATTGTTGTATGTTCAAGCAGTGGAACACACTGCAGCCATGTGCAGCCACAGAGGTTAATGGTAGGTCAAGAATATTGAATGAGGACTGGGTTGTAGCTCAGTGACAAAGCACTTGTCTAGCAAGCGCAATGTCCTGCGTTTGATCCCCAGTACCAAAAAAAAGAAAAGACAAAAATATAGTGAAAAACCCAAACAAACAAACAAAAAACTCTTTAAAAAAAAGCTGATGCTGGTGGCTCATGCTTGTAATCCTAGCTACTCAGGAGGCTAAGATCTGAGGATTGTGGTTCAAAGCCAGTCCAGGCAGGAAAGTCTGTGAGATTCTTGTCTCCAATTAACCACCAGAAAACCAGAAGTGGTGCTGTGGCTCAAATGGTAGAGCACCAGCCTTGAGCAAAAGAACTCAGGGAGAGTGCCTAGGCCCCGAGTTCAAGCCCCATGACTGACAAAAAAAGAAAAAAGAAAAAAGAATGAAGCTGAATATAGTGGCTCCAGTCTGTAATCTGGACTATTTAGAGGCAGAGATAGGAGGATTATAGGTCAAGGCTCATACAGACATAAGAGTAGTTTGGGAGATGCCATCTCAATCAACAGCTGGGTATGGTGGTACACACCTGTTATTCCAGCTACAGGGGAAACACAATGATCAGGTTCAGAGACATGTGCTTGTCATTCTAGCAACAAAGGAAACAAGAGGATCCCAGCCCAGGCTTACATAGAGTAGAGACCTGTCTTCAAAATAACTATTATTAAAAAAAAGTACTAACAATGTGGCTTGCTTGAGTGGGATAGCACCTGCTTAGCAAGTAGGAGGCCTGGGGTTCAAACTCTCATACTGAAAATAAAGTTTAAATGAATGAAGCAACCTGTATAATAATAATAGTAATAACAAGAACATAATAAAATAATGATAATGTTTGTGTGAAACTTGCACATATGCAAAACGAAGTGACATCTTGTTAAAATACTCACATATATGTGGTAAATATGCAAACGAAGGAGAGATGGACAAACAGAATTAGTGGAGGCCCGCCTTCAAGAGGAATGGGGAAGGAAGGGCAAGTTTAGGAGGGCCCATGGGCTTCAAAGCACCTGGTGAAGTTGGAGTTCTTAACTAGGTGGGCAGTGAGGAGTGTGTGGCGTACTGTGATGATCTCCATAGGTAGTTCAACACAACTCTCCTTGATAGCTAACACAATCAAAATGAGACGGGACAAGATCAATTAAATGATAAAAACAACCCTTTAGGACTTTCCTCCCACTCTTCAAGGGCAGCCCTACATGCTTCTAGGGTACATGTCCATCCGGCTCTGGGGGGTCACCGGCCTGTTACAGGGGTGACGTCTTCATCTATAGCCAGTACACTATGGAGCGGCGTAGAGGCCGGGAGCCCAGCCTGAGAGAACCAACGGAATGGCTTACCCAGGGAGGTGTTGCCCAGGATGAGGGGGGCTTCGGGGTGTTTCACTTTCAGCTCCAAGAGATCCTGCAGGGTCCCTGGGGAGATCCAGGTAACTCTTTCTCCAGAGAAGGTCAGGGTCCGTTTTTCTGGGTTCTCTGCCATTCTCTAAAGGCAAGAGACAAGTTCATGCGCTTGTGGGCCCAATCATCCTCCTGAGTTATACCAGGGGCCCATGTGGGGTGTGTTCCTCTACAAAGACTTGAGAATCTGTGCTGAAGGCCTCTGACCTTTTCTTGCTCATTCTGTTCCAACCAGACCTGCCTCCTCTTCGTCTCTGATCAGATCTAGGCTCTCTCAGCCCCAGGTCCTTTGCACTTGCTGTTCCTACTAACTAGATTGTTCCTGTCCCCGTATTTTTGTGAAGGGCTCTCTCACTTCCAGACTTTCTTTCTTTCTTTCAGATGTAACCTCTCAGAGAAGCGTTCTCTGGCTAGTATATTTGAAGCGCAACCATCTGCCTCTTATGTTCAGTAATTTATAGAAATTTTTTCTTCATAACACTTCTGACTTGTTAAACTATTTTTTTTTGTCAGTACCAAGGCTTTAACTCAGGGCTTGCTCACAGCTGGCATTCTACCACTTGAGCCATGCTTCCAGCTTGGCATTTTGCTGGTTCTTTGGAGATAAGAGTCTCACAAACTTTTCTTTCTTTCTTTCTTTCTTTCTTTCTTTCTTTCTTTCTTTCTAGTCGGCCGTGGGGCTTGAACTCTGGGCCTGGGCGCTGTCCCTCAGCTCTTCAGCTCAAGGCAAGCGCTCTACGGCTTGAGCTACAGCGCCACTTCCGGTTTTCTGGTGGTTTATTGGAGATAGGAGTCTCACGGTCTCTCCTGCCCAGGATGGCTTTGAACCTCGATCCTCAGATCTCAGCCTCCTGAGTAGCTAGGATTACAGGCGTGAGCCACCAGCGCCCGGCTCTCACAGACTTTTCTACTTGAACTGAGTTTAAATTGTGATCCTCCAGATCACAGCCTCCTGTGTAGCTGGGATGACAGGAGTGACCCAGCTTCTCTATATTTTATTATTTCTCTTTCTTACCAGATCACAAGCTTCAGGAGTGCAGGGCTTTTTGTAAGCTGAATCTCCTGCTGTCAACCTAACACCTAGAACAGTGCTGGGTGTTGCTGATTGGATATGTATGTTTGAATGAATGAATGAATACACACATCAGAACTCCGTCAGATAAAAGAACTTCAGAGAATGGACACTTGATATTTGAGATGAAGATGCTAGCAGGAGAGGAGAGGAGCAGGCGTATTTCTGAGATGTTCCTGCGGTCACTGCCTTGAGTGAAAGGCCTTTCAGGAAAGTGAAACTTCCTGGCTAGTTGAACAGGGACACATTCCAGAGGACAATCATGACAGTAATGGTGAGATCATTTTTGAAAAACCACAGCTGAGAGCTACGTGTGGTGGTGGCTCATGCCTGGAATCCCAGCTATAACAGGAGGCTATTCAGGTAGAATCAACGGTCCAGGACCACCATGGGGTATGGAGAAGGGTACAATTCCCTATATCAACCAGTAAAAACTTAGGGACTGCAGCATGCACCTGGCATTTCATCTACCCAGGAAGCATAAATAGGATAGCCTGGGTCCAGGCTGGCCTAAGACCCTATTTGAAAAGTAGTGAAGACCAAAAGGGCTAAGGGCATGGCTCATGTGGTAGGGCACCTATCTAGTAAATCCGAAGCTCCTGATACCCCCTCCCCCCAAACAACAACAACAAACCACACAAGAGCAGGAAGTCCTAGCTGAAGCTTAGTGACTATGTTCCAGGGGTCAGCTAGGGCTGGGTGAGCTGGGGGCTGGGGGCTAGGAGGAGTGGGTCAGCTAGGGCTGGGGGCTGGGTAGGAAGCTGGCATCTTGATTTCCCCAACTTTCCATGTCACAGAAAGGACATGGATAGATTTCAAACACATCAGCCAAGTCATCTTACCAAGAGTTCTGGGGGAAATATGAGCTCCTGGGTTGGATCCAAGGGCTGGAACTCTTCTTTTGCAAAAAGCTCTGTGCACATCTTTATAGAAGGAAGAAGCAAAATGGCCTTGTCAGCCTAGGGAGGCGGGAAGCAGCACAGCACTGCTTCTCCCGCCTCCTTGTCCAGGAAATAGCTCAAGCCAGATGACCCCAAACAAGTATTGTAAGAGAATCACTGATTTGCCACCAACATGCTTCTAAAGGAGCGTGCTATGATGTACTCCCAAAGAGAATTCTGGGAAACTTCATGTTCTATAAAACAGGACCAGGCTTGAAGTTTGGGAAATCCCTTCTGCTGTGCTCCCAATACTGTCCTCAGCTGGGCCAAGTCAGGATTTAAAGTGTTAGTGCCATGCCCTTAGCCCTTTAAGGCTCTGCAAACTCTTGTAGTTGAAGCAAAAATGATTCTAAACACACATGCCCATGCATAAGTGCAAACACACACACACACACACACACAATCTGATGTTTGTGACAATTAACACTTATTGAGTACTTTGACATATATTAATAACTCATTGAATCATCAAGATAATTGTATACAGAAAGTAAATTATCTCTAGTTTGTGCATCAGGAAACAAAAGCACAGTGATAATTTACCTAATAGTAGAATTTGAAGAAGGGAGAAGAGGAGAGAGCATGCTGTAGAGAATTCCTTGTATAGGGGCTGGGAAGATGGCTCAGTAGTAGAGCGCTTGCCTTGCATGCATGAGGCCCTGGGTTTGATTCCTCAGCACCACATAAGCAAAATGAAAAAAGCCGGAAGTGGCGCTGTGGCTCAAGTGGTAGAGCGCTAGCCTTGAGCTGAAGAGCTGAGGGATAGTGCCCAGGCCCAGAGTTCAGGCCCCATGACCAGAACCCCCCCCCAAAAAAAAAGAATTCCTTGTATATACCACAAAATCAAGGAAAATAAGGGATGTTGAAGAGGTAACATAGATCAAGATGCATTATACAAATAAACTACTTTGTTAAATGGAAAAAACAATTCAATACATATCCTACAAAATTAAGAAAAGTGAGGGAAGGGGTGGGTTAGGAGAGGTGGGTGAGAACGTCCAAAGGGGTGACACTGACCAAGGTTCACTGTGTTCATAAAGTGCTTTGTTGAATGGCAACTCCTTTGTACAACTACTTAAAGATAACAAAAATATTTAAAACATTAACCTAATAAAATGGCTGAGTCCTGCCTGACTCAGATCCGCTTTGCTCTGGAAAATACCTGTGACAGGTAACATCCCTGCAGAGGAAAGGGGACCTGAGCAGGAAGGTTGGGATGCAGGGTGGAGGCAGAGGTCAAGAAGATGAGACACACCAGAGCTAGGCAGGCCTGGGCTTCCTCTCACCTGTCTCTCAGACTACTGGGAAGGTACTTAACCTTTCTAAAGATTAAATGCAACTAATATTTATTTTGAAGGACACTCATGCTAATTAGATGACATGGCCTGACATTTGTCTGACCCTCTCTACTCTTTTTCTGGCTCTCATAGACCTTTCCAAACGCCAGAAAAAAAAAAAAACATAGAATTGTTCCTTGTGAAGATTGTGCACAGGCCCACCGATGGAGGGGGTGCGGGGTCGACATCGGAGCGATGAGGATTTGGGTTAGAATTAGGAGCTTAGGCAGTACTTGGGGGTAGTGGAATGGTGACTAAAACCTAGAAATAACTACTGCACCTGAGAATTCAGATGTGAAACAAACATAGTAAATCAGAGCTGAGAAATGACAAGTTCTCCTACATAGGTTCGAGGCCCAGCTTTAACAATTGCCCAAGTGGAAGATGTTAGTAGTTTGGGAAGCGGGGACGCAGGGCAGGCGCCAGCCGTCCAGCAGAGTGCCCCTGGTTAAGATGGCTGTCCTCCCTCAGCACCTGGCCTTCTCAGTAGAATTTATGTATGTTTTCCTGTAGGAAAGAATGTGGGGCTCATACGTCCCAAGTTGCACTCTTTATAATTGTGTTTCATTATAATTGTGATATCATTCTTTTATGAATGAATCATAGGGTGCATTCTAATTTAAAAATATTTTTAGCTATGGGGCTGGGAAGGTGGCTCAGTGGTGGAGCGCTTGCCTTGCATGCATGAGGCCCTGGGTTCGATTCCTCAGCACCACATAAGCAAAAAGAAAAAAGCCGGAAGTGGTGCTGTGGCTCAAGTGGTAGAGTGCTAGCCTTGAGCTGAAGAGCTGAGGGACAGTGCCCAGGCCCAGAGTTCAGGCCCCACAACTGGACCCCCTCCCCCCAAAAAAATTCTTAGCTAGGTGTAGTGGCTCACACCAGTAATCCTAGCTATTCAGGCAGGCAGACAAGTCTGACAATTAGCAAGCAAAAAGCTAGAAGTGGAGGTGTGGCTCAAGTGGTAGAGCACCAGCCTTAAGCAAAAAAGCAAAAAAGACCACGAGGCCTTGAGTTCAAGCTCCAGTACCCCATTCCCACAAAATTTTTTTTGTATTTGGTTAATGTTAACCTAAGACTGCAAATCTGAGCATTGGCTTTCCAATGCATGGACTTCCCCAAGACACTGGTCCTCTGAGGTGACCAGGAGCATGCAGCCCATCTCTAGAGCAGCAACCCTCTGTCCCACTGCCGTTTCTTTGGACTCAAATAAGCAGATGGTGGGAGAGAAGGATGGGAAGAAGTTAGGTGTGAAGGAGAGAAGTAGACAGAGTGGGAGATGGCAGGCACACTGTGGTCTGAGGCTTGCTCTAAGCTCTTAGGTCTCCTTGCATGAGGGAACCCATTCTCTATTTTATCCTGAATAAAGAATCCCCTTAAGAACTTGGTAGTGGGTCCTTAATGGGAAGGAATATCGCCCAGAGGGCAAAGCCAGTGGCTGGAACACTTTAAGCTGGACTTAATAGGTGTGGAGGCCGGTAACCTGCCTTGTGAGTGTGCTCCTTCCCTCTCCAGGGTGGAGGGGGTCGGTGGGGACCTCCGTCTGCCTCTGCACAGGAGGAGGTACAATGGTGGGGCGTGGCTGCATGAGCAGGGGCAGCTCCAGAAATCCATTCCACTGGAGGCTGTGGCTCATCCGGAGTGGATTTCCTGTTCTCTTTGTCCTAGCCTTTTGGATGATGAAGGAGACAATGAGATCACGGCTGGTGGGTCACCCCTCTTCCTAGCTGACTTGTGCATGCTTGGGACAGTTTTGAGTGGAGTACAGAATGACCCTTCAAACACACACACCTAGTTTTAAAGCCAAACTGGTGTCAAGTAGTATAACAAGAGGACAAAAGAAGCAAAGAAACTCACGTCGCTTTTGCTGTCAAGTGAGGGGCACTCGTTTTCTCTCTGGTCCAGACAGCATTGTCCTGTTCCTTGCTGCTGACAGCCATCTGCTTCCTAAGAAGGTGAAATGCCTCACATTAAATGTGTGTGTGTGTGTGTGTGTGTGTGTGTGCGGGCGTGTATGCACGCGGTGTGCACGCAGGCGTGCTGGTCCTGGGTTTTGAACTCAGGGCCAAGGCGCTGTCCCTGAGCCACTTTGTGCTCAAGGCTAGCGCTCTACCACTTAAGCCACAGCACCACCTCTGGCTTTTTTGGAGTGGCTTATCAGAGATAAAGAATCTCACAGATTTTCTGGCCTGGGCTGGCTTTGAACCATGATCCTGAGATCTTAGCCTCCTGAGTAGCTAGGATTATAGTCATGAGCCACCAGTGCCCAGTTTTCCCTGAGTTTCTTTTAGCTCAAGGCTAGTGCTCTATCATTTCAGCCACAGCTCTATTTTCAGCTCTTTTCTTGTTGGTCATGGGCTTGAATTCTGGGCCTGGGTGCTGTCTCTGAGCTCTACCACTTGAGCCACAGCGCCACTTCCAGTTTTCTGGTGGTTTATGGACTTTCCTGCCCCAGCTGGCTTTGAACTGCGATTCTCAGACCTCAGCCTCCTGGTAGCTAGGATTACAAGTGAGAGCCACAGACACCCAGCTCAGCTGGGTGAGTGTGCTTGTGTGTGTGTGTGTGTGTGTGTGCGTGCGTGTGTTTTGTGGTTATTTGGAGCTAAGAGTCTCATGAACTTTCCTGCCTGGGCTGGCTTTGAACCTTGATCCTCCAATCTCAACCTCCTGGTTAGATAGGATTATAGGTATGCGCCCCTGATGCCTGTCACATTAAACTTTTTATAAGTATCTGTCTATGTTCTCTGGAGGATCTATGAATTCATAGGAGACGTTAGACTTTTAAGCCCTTTTCGTAGTTTCTATTGGGACAGGAATAATTACAAAAGAAGCCCTTTCTTCTTTTGCTTTATATTTAAATAAAATGATATGTATTATACATATATATCATGAAATATATACTATATAATATAAATTAACAGAACATACAGGAGTATAAAAGAGACAAACTATCATTTTGATATAATACATCCTTTGTGATTGCACTATGCTTTACACAGTATGTATATATTTCTACTGTAGAGTACTCAGTATATGAATATTTTTATTCATTATCAACTTAGCTTTGGGCATACCTGTGATTTTGTTTGTTTGTTTGTTTGTGGGGCTTGAATTCAGGTCTGGCCACTGTCCCTGAGCTCTTTTTGCTCAAGGCTAGTGTTCTACTATTTTGAGCCATACTTCTACTTCTGGTTTTTGAGTGGTTAATTGGTGATAAGAATCTCATGGGGACTTTTCTGGCCAGGCTGGTTTTGAACCACGATCCTCAGATCTCAACTTCTTGAGTAGGTAGTATTACAGGTGTCAGCCACTCGTGCCCCACTCTGTGAATTGTTTTTCCCTAGTCCTGGGCCTTGAACTCAGGGCCTGGGCACTGTCCCTGAGCTTATTTTTGCTCAAGGCTGGTACTACCATTTGAGCCACAGTACTGTTTCCGGCTTTTTCTGTTTAAGTGGTACTGAGGAATTGAAGCCAGGGCTTCATGCATGCTAGGCAAGCAATCTACCACTGAGCCACATTCCTAGCCCATCTGTGAAGTCTTTAAGATGAATTCTTATCTTGAAATTAATTTTAAAGATACTATAATTTATCTACTTCCTAGCATATATCAGATCCAAAACATTGTTCATTATAAGTCATACAATATCCTTAAGAAAGAGAAAACAAAAAGAAAAAAAAGGAAAAAGCAAAGAAAAAAGATGTGAAAGGAAATCACTGAGGTGACCTAGCGCCAGCATTTGGCAGTCTGTGTAAGGCTGGCTGGGAATGAGTTGACAGTGGCATTTCAAGCAGGTTTCCATGTGTAGAGATCTCATGTGCATTGCTTCTAAACTTTCCTTTTGTATCTTCTCCCAAGGGTCTGGCAAGATACTTTCTCTCAGATGCTTCGCTTCACTGTCTCTGCCCCAGTGTCTCAAGCTGCTGTCTTCCCAATCCTGCCTAAGAACTAGCACAGCTGGGTAAAGAGGCCGCACTCCCTCTCTCCCTCGAAGCTCCTCCAGCCTCCATGATAGACTGAGAGTCAGTGCCAACAGGGAAAAGCAGTCTTGTTTTTGTCATCTGTGTTTTTGGACATACACATACATATGTCTTGTGTATGGTCTCTGGGGCTGGGTTGCTTTCAAGCATTAAAGCTCCGTGCTTGCTGGCAGCAGGGTGGGGTGTCTGGTCACATTTGTGTCTTTGTATCCCCACAGTCTGTGTCCCAAGATTGTGGAGGCCATCTATACTCATCAGCAAAGAGGTTTCTTTTAACTCCTTTGTATCTCACAAGTGCAATTCGCTTTACACCAACAATCAGCTGGGCTTTCACTGCTCAGACTCCCCCAGGTGGCAGTGGAAGTGGGGACACACATGGAAGGGACACCTACCTGCTTAGCTTTGGACACCTGCTGGCCCATCTCTGTGTTTGTGGAGCTGAGGCAAGAATACAAATAGGCAGTGGCTCACGCCTATAATCCTAGCTACTCAGGAGGCTGAGATCTGAGGATCACAGTTCAAAGCCAGCCTGGGCAGGAAAGTCCGTGAGACTCTTATCTCCAATTAACCACCAGAAAACTGGAAGTAGCGCTGTGGTTCAAGGGCTAGAGCGCTAGCCTTGAGCTGAAGAGCTGAGGGACAGTGCCCAAGCCCAGAGCTCAAGGCCCATGATAGTCAAAAAATAATAAAAAAAATAGAGGGTCTCAGGCTGTGACCTGTTACCCTCTTCTTCCTATATGGCTCCTGCACAGAGAGGTGCCTCGGGATTCCTGTGAGTGCCCAGCCTGAGTATTAAAACTCTATTCATTCCCTCCACACATAGATGCTCATTGGAAGCCCTTTGGCCTTGTATGTGGGATGCAGACACTAACTGTTAGGATCTGCTCTTCATCATTTTAGGAAAGAGTCTTGTGTCTGGCCTGCGTAGAGTCAAGACCATGTGTAGAGAATTGTCTAGAAAAGGGGTGAAAGTTCTAGATAGGTATGTCAACCTTAGTCCTAGGGTATCATGAAAATAGCAGAGGAGATGGTCTCTCTAATTTATTGTGCTGAGCTTTGCATGCTCAGCTCCATCCTGACCTGAAGGGCCACCAAACGTGCCCAACTGATGTTTCTGTCAAACACTATTCATAGAGCCAACAACATTCTCTAAAATAGCTCTTACTATGCATCAAGAAAAATTCATTTGATTTTTCAGAATGGCCCAGTACATTGCTAAGAGCCAGTAGCTCATAACTGTAATCCTAATTAATCAAGAGGCTGAGATCTGAGGATCAAGGTTCAAAGCCAGCCTGGACAGGAAAATTCATAAGACTCTTATTTCCAGTGAATCACCAAAAAGCTGGAAGTGGAGCTGTGGCTCAAGTGGTAATATGAGCAAGTATAGTAGTATGGTAGCCTTGAGCAAAAGCAGCTCAGGAAGAGTGCCCCAGGAACTTGTGTGTGCTTTTGGAGTGAATTCGGGTGCTACACGACACATTCAGTTTCTTGTGTGCTCACACCTTCCTAGCTGGTCATGTTGTTGGGAGGAATCTTGTCTCATCAAAGCAAACTCCATATCCTGCCTATCTCCTTGATTTTCTGAAGACTCACTCCATCCTCAGGAATTAGCTCAAATGCCTGTGAGTCAGTTGAAATCGATTCACTTTGGCTAGCCTGTTGTAATAGTCTATAACCGCTCCCCCACTTCCTTGACTAGCCGTCTCTGCTGTTAATCCTTGCTCTGTAGGGTGTCTCTGCAGTCACTACTCACCTTGCAGAAAGTCCTGCCACTCTGGAGAATTGGTCTATACCCGGTGCAGCGGCACAGATTTCCTAATCAGAGGAGAAGCAAGCAGAATCGTCAGTGGGCTTGTTTCTACTGGCTTCTTTTGAAAGCTGAAATAGTTTTTTTGGGGGGCTGGCAATAGTGACCAAATCCACAGGCTTGAGTAAGCACTACCATGGGGAAATACAGCCTCCTCCGCACCTCTTTCTTAAGACATAGCCTCAGTATGTAGCCCAGGTCGACCTCAAACTAAGATCCTCTTGCCTCTGCCTCTCATGTTCTGGGATTACACCACACCTGGCTTTCTCTAAACTCATTTTTTTTTTTTTTGGGTCCGGTCGTGGGACCTGAACTCTGGGCCTGGGCACTGTCCCTCAGCTCTTCAGCTCAAGGCTAGTGCTCTACCAGTGGAGCCACAGCACCACTTCTGGCTTTTTTCTTTTTGCTTATGTGGTGCTGAGGAATCGAACCCAGGGCCTCATGCATGCAAGGCAAGCGCTCTACCACTGAGCCACCTTCCCAACCCCACTCCTCAATTCTTGAATCCATCAATCTTATTCTGTCCTGAAAAAGATGGCAGTCTAGCTGTTGATTTTACTTTTCTTTACCTACTAAATGTCTCCCTTCCCTTCCTTTCCCTTCCCTCCTTCCCTCCCTCCCTTTCTTCCTACCTTTTCCTTCCTTCCTTCCTTCTTTCCTTCCATCCTTCCTTTCTTCCTTCCTTCCTTCTTTCTTTCTTTTCTTCTTGTGGTGCTGAGGATAAGACCCAGGGCCTCATACTTGCTAGGCAAGCACTATGCCACTGAGCTATATCTCCAGCTCCAATGTGTGTCTATTGAGAAGAACTGTATTTTGGACTATGTAAGATAGGGTCTTCCCAGGCAGGAATTACAAGCACTAGATGAGCAAAGCCTTGGACAGTGTTGGGAGTGCTTCTCAGTAGTGGCTCAGAGATACTTAGAGGTATTTGTTAATAGCAGGAATCCAAGCCTCTGAGGGAGGGCCCTGAGAAGTGTGCAGGTCATTTTATTACACAATATCAGAGAGTCTCGGGTGCCTAAGGATGAGGGCTTGGGGTGGGGTGGAAGAGGGCGAGTACACAGAGTTCATGTGGGCTGGTTTGATTGAGAACCCTGAGCTGGAGAGATGAGCTGTGGGTTGGTGGGGAGTCGACAGAGTTCTCAGACCATCCTGAGCAAGGTGCAGAGAGACTGGCCTGCAGTGGTGAGGAGGGAAGGACGTACAAGCATGGGAGGCCTGTTCTTGGACTCAGGGCTGAGGAACTTCTGCCTTGTCATTTAAACCTAATGCAAACTCTAAGGGGTTCTCTTACTATATGAAGAGTCTTATTAGAGATTGAACTGTGTCCCCCCCAAAAGATGTGTTGGAGGCCTAACTGTTGGAACCTGTGAATATAACTTTATTTGGAAATAAGATCTCTGCAAGTATCAGGATGACAGTCATTGTACTGGGCCCTAATCCAATGACTGGATCCTTCTAAGAGAGGGGGGATTTGGACGCAGAAGGGTGTCAGAATAGAGACACAGATTGGAGCAGTATATCTACAAATGAAGAAATGTCCCAAACTGTCAACTCTCAAGCTAGGAAGAGGCTAGGATGGGTTCTTCTTAGAGCCTTAGTTAGAGCACTGCCTGTTGACACCTTCATTTCAGACTTAAAGCCTTCGGAATGGCAGGGGAATGATTTTCTGCTCTTTTATATCATGTAGTTTATGGGTCTCTGTTCATATGGCTCTAGAAGCTGATGATACAGACTCTTGAGTCACTGGATAGAGAAGTGGTGTGGTCATGTGATGGGTGTGGGCTGTGTACACCCTCCTCTGCACTGTGGCTACTTTAGAAACAACTGAACAGGGGCCTGAGCAAGGCTGGAGTGATGCTGAAGATGGCGTGGAGTGGTCTAAAGCCTACTTTCCACCGGGTCTTAAGGTATGGCCTACCTCCCAGGGCTTCCATGAGCTGCTCCTCGGAGGGCTGTGGATGGTTCCTGAGCAGCGCATACATAGACATCACCATCCCAGGGGTGCAAAAGCCACACTGGGTGCCATGGCTCTTGGCAATTCTCTCCTGAAAAGATACATTCATGGTCCCAGCCCTGCCTTCCTGCTGCCACTAGCAGTCACCAGAGCCTGCAAGCCGGCATCTCCTTCGCCATGGTGGAACCCACTCTGAGCCCACGTGCCCATCCTTTGAGCCTTTCTTTTTCCTTTTCTGAGGCTGTTTCTGGTAGTAGTCACTCAGAACCCATATGCTATCATTGTAATTACTTCTCAGTGTCAAGTGCTCAGACTCTTCTAGTTGGGAATTTGTAGTGTGCAGCCTACACATGTCATGAGGGAAAATCTCCAGGAATCAATTCTTAAAGTATTGATTATATACACTTATACACACAGAATTTGTATAATGGAATTGGAGACTATTTAATGTCATCTCCCTCCTCCTCTTCCTCTTCCTATTTCTCTTCCTCCTTTGATCTTGTTATAGGCCAGGCTGGCCTCAAACCCTCTAACCTCCTGACATAACTCCCTAAATTCTGGGATTAAAATTATGTACCATCATACCTTCCCTTGCTTTCCTCCTTAACTTCTTCTGTGTTACTCAAAGGAATCTCTACTTATAAAGGCCAAGATCTTGATCTGTGCTTTAGAGCCTTGTTATTTAAAGTGTGATCTATCGTCTGGTAGTATTAGTTTCTCCTGGGAGCTTTTAGGAAGTGTAGGACTTGAGGTTTCTGCTCCAAACCTCTTGACTCAGAATCTGAATTTTTAACAAGCCCTCAGTGAGTCTTGGGAACATTAAAGCTTGAGCTGTATTGTAGATTTTAACTTTGCAGTGAGCATTTTGTCTGCTTTAGAAGACACTGCTGGATCTATCACCTTTTCTGACTTCCTTGGTATTGAGTCTCATGTGATAGAACCCAGAAACTCTTTCTGGTTGATCTAGTCCTGAGTCTCCCCAGCTCCTGTGATGATGGCGATGAACTGATGTGGTATCTGCCATCACATGTCTTAACTTATTCTTAACTTCAATCTCTCTGCTCTGACTTTAGGTTAAGATTTGGAGAACTCAATCATTCTAATGTAGCTTTAATCATTCTAATGTTACTTTTAGACTCCACTCACCCTCAGGTCTGATTTTATTCCTAAAACTTTAATGCCACAGAAAATAATCCTGACTTCTATCCTGTTAGCTTCAGAGGCATTTATTATCTTACATATTATATTTGTTTCATATCCTGTGTACAATCTCTAGTCCAGATCATAGGTATCAGCTAATGTTTTGATAATCCCAACATCTTTCATGTAGAAAAAGTAACAAAACAAGATGACCCTCTAATAAAATGTGTATGCATTTCTAGCTTTCTCTGGAATCACTTAACACATGTCATTCCCCTGATCAACATGTATCCTCAAGTTTCTGCTTCCCTAGTAATAGCCTGGCCAGCTCTGGCGGTATAGTCAACACAGCATTTGATTAAAAGGGAGTTTAGAAGTAAGCTGTTGCCTTACCTGCACAGGGTGGAGTCTGGTTTTGATACTTCCAACACCTTCTACTGTAGTGACCGCCGCCTCATACAGAGAGCAGATGGGCACCAGGCATGAGGTGACAGAGAAGTGTCTTTGAATGAGAAACAAAAGAAAAATCAAGGGGAGTCACACAGTCCTGCATTATGGGGAACCCCAGAACAAGAAGAGCAGTGGAAGTGGGCAGGAGAGCCTTACACTCAGCCGAGGGGCTGGGAGACAGGAAGGATGGGTTGGAATCTGAGTCTGCAGTGTATGCTATCTGTAGGAATTTGGGGATCCTGCAAGTGTATAAATTTCAGAAATACTTTCCAAGCCTAACATAGACACTCCTAGAAGGAGTGGGATGTGGTTAGACATTAACTACCATCTCCTGGGACACTGACCTCCTAAGAAACCAAAGAAACCACACTGAAGTTTATCACTCATATCTATACACCTGGGAACTTTTTTGTTTGTTTTGTTTTTGTTGCTTATTTAAACTCTTTGGATAAGGTCACTTAACAGTGTTGGATAACTTGTGTTTTGAAGCCACGTCCTGATTTAGGCTAATGGATTTGGATGAATGTGGTCTTCAGTTAAAGGGTAAAATCATGTTCCAAGTTCTGGCTCTGTAAAGTTGGTAAAATCTGGAGAAAGAACATTTGTTTCAAGGCCAGAAAACATGGGCCTGAGTCCTTATTCTATAGGTTACTAGTTGTATGATCTCGAAGAAGTCACTTCATCTTTTCTTTTATTTTTATTTTTTGTCCCGTTGTGGGGCCTGAACTCTGGGCCTGGGCGCTGTCTCTCAGCTCTTCAGCTCAAGGTTAGCGCTTTACCACTTGAGCCACAGCGCCACTTCTGGCTTTTTTCTTTTTGCTTATGTGGTGCTGAGGAATCGAACCCAGGGCCTCATGCATGCCAGGCAAGCGCTCTACCACTGAGCCACCTTCCCAGCCCAGTTACTTCATCTTTTCAAGCCTCAAATTTCTCATATGTAAATGTGGTGGCCTAAGTTGGGGATTTCCTATTCTGGGGTGCACAGATGGGCCTTGGGAGGCTCATGATCTCTCTGAAAGGAAATGCATTCTCTGAACAGATGACTCACAGCGTTTATGTGATTTTTCAGAGGGATCTAAGATCCAGAGACAGTAAGAATCTACAATTCTTTCTTAGTTGTGAGATGAGAATATAAGCCAAGGAAAGCCACAGCGCTCTCCCCTAGCTGCCAGGCCTTGGGGGTGGGCTACCTTATCTTCCTGGACACTGGGTCATGCTTAGACACCATCACAGTGCAGGCGCCGCAGCCTCCTCTCCCACAGGCGTACTTGGTACCAGTGAGGCATACTGGAAGGGGTGGTCAAGGCAGACACTTTGTCTCCAGTATAATTACTTCCTTGGGGTGTCTCAATGAGGAAATTCATTGTGGGGTGAGGCGTGTGTCTGAGAAATCATTCACCTGGCTTACTTAAGGCCACTCCTTATCTTATTAGTGCAGGACCTTGTGTAGTAATCTCTCCCTATTTTCTCACCTGTAAAGAAGGAGGAGTAATACCTACTTTATCATCTCAGGCTTATTACAAGCATTTTGTAAATCCTATTTCATTATAGAGTTATTCCTTTACATCTTCCTCTAGGTTCCAATCATGCAATTGGAAGAGAAGAGCTATATTTTTAGGAACTTGATATATAATGAGTTTTGCCTGATGATAAGCCAGGCAATGAAACAGCCCTCCTCTGCTTGTATTGTGTTTGAAAGCAAGGTAGTGAGTCTTTAGAGAAATCTCTTGCTCTTATTTTCAGATCCAATCTTGCACAGCCCTCTGCTCTGATTGGTCCAGGGCCAATCCCACAGGGAGGCTCAGCCTCAGCCCATTCTCTGCTCATCTTCTCCCTAGTCAAGCTTTTCCACACAACTTTATGAGATTGGATGTAATTAACTAGACTGGCTAGCAAGACTTCAGAATCACTGACTCTTTACTACTTATTTGTCTCTTTTCTTTGTACTAATGATGGGGATTATTCATCAGAACTAATCATAACCTCAAATGCTTATCAGAAAGGTAACATAAATGAAAAGCAGGTGAGTGTGACTGGATGTCTGGACCTCACCCTAGAGAAAGAACCAGGGATAGGCCTTCCTTGCTGTCAGCATGAAGGGCTACCTTCTCATGTGTCTGGAGAGGCTGAAAGCTCTTGATTTTTTTTTTTTTTTGCCAGTCATGGTGCCTGAACTCTGGGCCTGGGCACTGTCCCTCAGCTCTTCAGCTCAAGGCTAGTGCTCTACCTCTTGAGCCACAGCACCACTTCTAGCTTTTTCTGCTTATGTGGTGCTGAGGAATTGAACCCAGGGCCTCATGCATGCAAGGCAAGCGCTCTACCACTGAGCCACCTTCCCAGCCCTGCTCTTGATTTTTTTAAAATATGAAATTGCCTAATTTTCAAATACTGACAACGAATCAGAAATTGGAAGGGCTTTTAAACAAAATTCGTCAGGAGGCCAATTTCAACAATTTGTAACTTCTGCCATTTATTTTTTGGCTTCTCTGAGATATTTAGCAGATTTACTCATTAAAATAATTTTGCCCTTATAAAGCTCTATTTATATTCCAGAAAATAAAATGGTGAGGGAAATCTGATGCAAAAAACAATAACAACCACCACAGCAAAAAAAAAAAAAAAAAACCAGATATGGGGAAAAATAATCTTTTCCTCTAACACATGATCTCACAGATTCTGGAGAATTTGGTTTCATGAAAGGTCAGGAGACACAGCTCAAGCCTCTATTACATAACCCCTGGGTGGACTCCAAGGAGCCCGCAGGGAACACTGAGAGATTAAGAAAAGAGCCTAGCTTCTATTTCACGCTGTTAAATCAGATGAAGGCAACGCCGGGGGAAACTTCCTCTTCTCCCAACTAGCCCAATTAATCTGATATGATTAAATCCAGGCTAAAAGCAAATAGCAAGGGCTGAGAAACTGACTGTTTGGAAAGAGTGATCAGTTGTCCTAAACATTGGCTTAAATTTTAAGGCAAGCATAGACATGACCAGGACTTTTTTTTTTTCAAAGGATCCAGTTCTTTCGCAAGAAGGCCAGCAGGGTCACTTCGGGATCCACATTCTTCTCTGTCACCTGAGTTGGAAACAGAGGAGAGATTATTATGGGACTGAATCAGTGACCAGTGCAATGCTTGTTGTGATCTGTTTGATTTAGGGATTGGACTTCATCTGCATCTGCTCTTTTGTGCTCTGAGGGAAAACAACTTTCTGCTTTTTTTGTTTTTTTGTGGGGCTTGAACTCTGGGCCTGGGCACTGTCCTTGAGTTCTTTAGCTCTACCATTTGAGCCACAGTGCCACTTCTGGGCAGACAACTTTCACACACACACACACACACATTTATAGGGCAGGGGTCTCTGGAAGCTAATGTGGCAGAGCTGCTCTTCTGTCTGACAAGTCCTGGAGGCCAGTGCTGTGTATGGATGTCCCTACACTCATATTCTTCACATCTGCTCTAGCATTTACCTTTGCAGACCCTTCCAACTAAGTCTTTTTTTTTTTTGGTCGGCTGTGGGGCTTGAACTCTGGGCCTGGGTGCTGTCCCTCAGCTCTTCAGCTCAAGACTAGCGCTCTACTACTTGAGCCACAGCGCCACTTCCGGTTTTCTGGTGGTTAATTGGAGATAAGAATCTCACGGACTTTCCTGCTTGGGCTGGCTTTGAACCATGATCCTCAGATCTCAGCTTCCTGAGTAGCTAGGATTACAGGCGTGAGTCACGGGTGCCCAGCCCAACTTAGTCTTTGATATTCAGGAAAGATTTCAGATCTTGGGAAGATTTGGACTGCTGTGTGTGTAGTGAAGGGTCCTGTCAAGCAGAAGACTGGGTGGAAAAAATTACTAAACATTTGATGATCTAAAGGTCCTCAGAATTTGCGGCAGAAAAGGAGAGAGTTGCTGCTATCTTGGAGAGGCTTTGGAACCTTCTAGTCTCCCTCAATGGCAGAATGGCCCCATGGTAAGCCTTGGTGCTCATGTTGAAGTGGCTCAGATACAACACTAGAATTCCTTCATCCTTCCCCTTGAAAAGTGGGAGAGTTTGTGCTCAGAGTCATGAGGAATCTTCTTTGGTGCCTCTTCTTATGTATTGTTGGGTATTCCCTTTGGCTCTGACTTGAGGTGGCTTGAAGACACCCCTAAGCTCTCTATTTTATTCGAGGAAAGGAAGATCCAGGGGGTTCCCAATGTTAGTGAAGGTTCTTTTTTTTCCCTAGAAAAATTAAAAAATCTATAGGAAGATGGTTATAAGTTGAAATATTAAAATTCAACTGCTTGCTAGTTCTCTAGGGGCTTAGTCATTGAAAACCAAACCTAATCTTTTTGTCCTCTAATGGCTATCAACACACAGACTTGTATTTCCTCTAACTTCTGTTTTGACTGTAGCCATGCCATTTCAGGCTCATGATTTAGAAGGGACATAGTGTAAAAAAAACAAAAGAAGAAATCTCTTCTGGGTTGAATCTCCAGAGCCTGTGCCAGTGGAACAAGCAAGTATGGACTCAGCTCATAAACAATGGTTTGGGAGAATATGGTAGTGGTTGGCTGGAAAGACTGCATACAGAAAGAGATTAGCAGGCAAATTAGGGGATTTAGAGACTATGTTCTGCTGGCTTCAAGAAAGCGGGATCAGGCTGGGAAGGTGGCTCAGTGTAGAGTGCTTGCCTCGCATGCAAGAGGCCCTGAGTTTGATTCCTCAGTACCACATAAACAGAAAAAGCTGGAAGTGGCACTTTGGCTCAAGTGGTACAGCAGGAGCCTTGGACTGAAGAGCTGAGGGACAGCGCCCAGGCCCAGAGTTCAAACCCCATGACCAACAACAACAACAAAAAAAAGCAAGCAGGATCAAAAGAGGCACTGATGACTCCTGCCTATAATCTTAGCTACTTAGGAGACAGATCTGAGGATCTCAGTTCAAAGCCAAATTTGAGATATTGTTATCTCCAATTAACCAGCAAAATGCCAAAAGTGTGGGTCTGGCGCGAGTGGTAGGACCCCAGCTTTGAGTAGAAAAAGTTAAGGCAATACATGTGCCCAGTATTGGCGCATGCATGTGCATGTACGTATGGGACACACACACACACACACACACACACACACAGGAGAGCTGAATTGGTCAGTTAAGTTTGTGGAATTGGAGTGATGTGAGGCTCTGGAGTGACGAGACCCCAAAGCAGTCATGTGGTTTGTGCTCTTAAGAGACAGAGACTCATGAGAGGCAGAAGCTGGCAAAGGGGAGTGAGGTAGCCAGTGGCCTGTGTGGATGGCTGGTGAGGACAGGAGGGAAAGTGGAAGCTGAGAAGTCCTGCCCTGGTCACATTGATTCTTCCTGGAACTTAGCTATAACAGAGGGTAGGGGGAGAGACAGACAGACACAGACAGACAGAGGCAGAGAAAGTCCAAACTGACCATATTTATATCTCATCCAGTCTTGTAGAATGGAGACTCAGCAGAGAATTGAAGTTATATAGAAAAACAAAGGAAGTTTCACTTTTCATCTTCCTGAGTTTGAGGATCAAGATGTGTTACTACTACAATGCTTCCATGTCTCAGGCCCAGTTTTGGAAGCATGTTGCGGTCCCTCATCAACGCAGAGAGCAGCTTTCTTTCTGTCTTTACACTAACCTGGGAAGCTGATTGAGCCCAAGGCTCAGGGAGGTGAAGTGACTTACACAAGGATGCTCAGTCAATGGCAGAGCCAGACTTAACCCAGAGACACCAAGGCTTTCCCTGCCTCTTCACACTGCTAGGAGCTGAGCCCTGACTGAGGGGAACAGACAAAATTTGGATGGGCTTCTAGTTCTGAGTTTTCTGACCCTGACTGGGCTCAACTCAGATGGCAACAAGAGCGCCCCTTGAGCCATGGGGCTTCCTGCTGTCTCAGAGATCCACAGAGGAGTTTCCAACACTTACCTTCCTCCCATTCACAAAGAAAATTAGCTCATCTGATTCCTTCAATGGGTAAGGCATGGCAGCTATGAGGAAGTTCTTCTGGATTGAGACAGAATGCTCTCTAGCACTAGTCACAGATGTGGCTAGTGGAAAGGTTGGTGTCCAAGCAACTGGATTCTGGGTGTGAGTGGAAACGGGCCAGCCTAGAGCCTTAGAGAGGAGGGCAAGTAGGTGGAGACTTCTTGCTTTGTGGCTTTTTAAGCTTAGGGCCTTGTGTGGGTCAGGTTCTGATCTCATTTCCACCAATCCTGGCTTTGAACTTGGCTCAGGATGCAGTGCATACCTCTCTTCTCTGGAAATTAAGGGCATCAGCTAAAAATCCATAAACAACAGCCTCAGCTTTAACCCACTCTTCACAGGGTGTGGGAATGTATCCTGGATGGATTTCATTCTTCTCAAAGACAGAAGTGTCTAAAAAATGTGACGAATGCTGAGTCCTCACACTCTTTCCAACTTGTTTCTTATTCTAGCTGTGGAAATGTCCCCTCATGGGAAAGCAAACATCCTATCACTTCAGTGTGTGGCTCAGATTGAGGTGGAGGTATGGGGTATAGCATCTACCCAGCCCTTCTCCACCTTCCTTACTTCCTTCCAACGCCCACAGTTGTGTGGTTAGAAATCACTGATCTAGTCAAGGCAATCACTGTACTGAGAGATAAACTGAGGTCCACTGAGATGAGATTTGTACCTCATGTCTATAATCCTACCTACTCAGGAGGCTGACATCTGAGGATCACGGTTCAAAGCCAGCCCAGGCAGGAAAGTCCGTGAGACTCTTATTTTCAATTAGCTAGCAAAAAGCTAAAAGTAGAGCTATGGCTCAAATGATAGAGACCAGCTGTGAGCGAAAAAGTTAAGGAATAACACCCCAGTTCTGAGTTAAATCTCTAGTACTAGCATACAAAAAGCAAGATTGAAAGAAAGAAACAAAGGAGAAAAAAAAGAAAATAAGTTTGAATGGCTCCAATAAAACACAGTTCTTATTCTGTTATCTGAAGTACTGCCTAGAGCTTGGGCTCACATATGGGCAAAATAGGTAGCTGCTTATAAAGTGTGGTTTCAGGAGAGCTGGTAAGGCATCTCTGCTCTCCAGTTCTTCTTTTTTTTTCTTTTTGGTCGGTCGTGGGGCTTGAACTCTGGGCCTGGGCGCTGTCCCTCAGCTCTTCAGCTCAAGGCAAGCGCTCTACCACTTGAGCTACAGCGCCACTTGCGGTTTTCTGGTGGTTTATTGGAGATAGGAGTCTCACGGTCTCTCCTGCCCGGGCTGGCTTTGAACCTTGATCCTCAGATCTCAGCCTCCTGAGTAGCTAGGATTACAGGCGTGAGCCACCAGCGCCTGGCTCTCCAGTACTTCTAATATGAGTCCACAGAGGACTGGAATCTTCACGAGAGTGGACACTTTGATAGGCAACACTCCCATTGTGACAGTGCCCCAGACAGAAATGGCAAACACGTGACCTCTTCTGCACCTGGCTAATTGAGAACTTTCTCTTTTCAGCTGGTCCAGAGGGTGGCTTCCATGTCCTTCTCACCCACAGCACTATTCCAGAAATGACTCCTGATCAAATGGTGCTTATAGCTTTTATGTGTCTTCACAGTTTTGAAGTCTAGGTCTTCCATCATAGTCTTTGTAGACCTGTGAAAATGAGTGTGTTTCAGTGTGTGTGTGTGTGTGTGTGTGTGTGTGTATGTGTGAGTCCCATGTTAGAAGTTCTTGCAGACATTGACAGCAGACTCATGATAGCAGCTGGAGAGAGTTCTGTGGATTAGGAAGGACCTTCAGGTCAAGCTTGTTTGTTGATCATGTCTTCCCTGTCTCCCAATAGCTATTAAGGGACTGGAACATTAGGTCCAAAACTTCCCACAGTCAGATGCTCTTGCAATAGGGAAAGAAAAGTCTCCTGCTCCAGGAGATTGGCCCTTTCTGGATAATCCTGCACCTCTCTGCCTACAATCCTCCAGTGGCTTCCCACTGCACGTGGTAAAACCTCACATGCCCACAGGGGGCCCTCTGATGAGATGGGCCCTACCCATCTCTCTGAGTATATGGTTAACTACTCTCACAGCTGTAGCAGTGGCCTCTCTCCTGCTTTGGAAAGGTGCTAACACTTTCCTGTCTGAGGGCCTTGGTGCTTTAGTTACTCTACCTCAACTTTTCTCAGACTAGCATGGCCAGTACCATTCTGTTATTCGGGTGTCTTGAGTCACATACCTGTATTTCTACATCGGTCTCATATTCTCCATAATACCTGTTACTTCCTGACATGGACACTTGCTTACCTTTTTACTGCTTCCTCCCTTAGAAGATAAGCTCCAGGAGTGCTAGAATAATCTTCCAGTTCACCCCTGTATAATTGGGGCCCAAAATGGTGCCTACTACAGAAAAAAATCCCCAATAAGTATTTGTTGGATGCCTAGTGAATATATATATACATATATATATATAGTCTAGTGACTATCACTGCTGCCTTGTTCATCCTTGGTCCCACCATTTCTGTGCTCCCCTCTTCCACTCCCCAAAACAGATCAACATAAAAGACAAAAGGCACAGAAAACGAAAACAGTGACAAAGGAGAAAACAAAGACAAAACCACAAAAATCTTCTTGCTTCCCTTTCTTGCAGTTCATTTTGATAAATACCATTTTATATGATCATATGCACATAGCTATTGAGCCTTTGTGATTCTCTCCTAAGGATATTCTCCTTCAGTCTCACTGTGTGAATGTCTAGAATCCTGTATAATTTATCATGTCCATATCTATATATATCTATAGATATATCTATATATATTGTCTTTTACCATCCAGAGTGTTAACTTATAGATTTTTAGGAATAGTCTAGGAACAACAAATCAAGGGAACCATGCAACCTATATCTCTTTGGGTCTGGCTTAGTTACACAAAGGAATTTCAATTCAACATGTCTGTTTATGAGTACAATGCATCTTGATCAATGTCACCCCTTTCATAATTCTTCTCTATCTTTCCTAATACCACCCATCCCATCTATTTCCCTTCTAAACTACTCAATTTTCCTTCTAAATGAAGGAGACAGCATCTGTCCATCCATCCATGACCCATGCATGCATGCATCCATCTGCTTTGCACTAGGCTTTATGTAAGGGGTAAGGGTGCAGTAGAAAACAGGTCTACAAATGTTTACTTTTCGGGGTGTTTGAGGCTTTATAAGACAACAAGCAATTAAACATGTCTGTTTTTGACAAGCACAGAACAGAGATAGTAGCCCCATTTAGAGGATGGGGATCAAGGAAGATCTGAGAAAGAACACTGAGGCCTGAGAGAGGAAGAGGAGTTGATTCCCTGAGAACTGAGGATGGAAGGGAACAGGCTGAGGGGAAGGCACACGTGGAGACACAGGCCCTTCTTTGTCCATTTCAGGGCCTACAATCGGCTCTTTCTCACTATGCGTGTACATAACTCACACATATTTACTATTTAGAGGAGCATGATACTGTCAATGACTGATGAATTATGTGTCTCCAAAGTATTTATTGGCATACAACCTTCAATGCCGATATAGAGTACAGGCCTTTAAAACAGAAAACCAGCTTTCCATTTGGATTATGGTATTAGATTTGGGTGATATCAAAGTACTCTGGATGAGGAAACCAATGCATTAATTGCAGGGAAACTGAAAACCCATAAAGGCTCTAGAGAAGTGTGTGTGTGTGTGTTTTAAACTTGTTTTTCAGGTTTTGTTTAAATGCCATCTTGAGGAGGGTAAACAAACTAGACAGAAAGCCGCTGCTTGGCACAGAGGCCTTGGAGTTGGGTCTGAAGTCCTGCCCTGTCCTCTCCTCCTCTGGGGTTCCAGGAGCTCACTTTGGGAACCTCCCCCTTGAGGGTGAACAAAGGCTTGTGACTGTGAGAGGGTAGGATGAACTTTCTGCCAAGTTGTTCTCACTCTCAGGTTTCCTCAAGACAATGGGAAAAAAGCAATCCCTTTTGCTCTCACTCTCAAATTTCTTGAATGAAAAACACGAGGATTCCATTTCTTCACTTCTTGTTTTTCTTGATACTGGGAATTGAACTCCCAAGTTATGGCACAATACTAGCTGAGTTCTGTTGCCACTGAGCTGACAGCTAGCTTCCTTCACTTGTACATGGATTGTTCTCGTGCGTGGGAGAAACTACGCAGTTTGACCCAGGTTGCTTGTATGTCTGTTATTAAAAATAAAAATCTTAGAATTTACATCAAAGAATCTTATTTTCTGGGTTGGATAGGAAATGCCCCCTGCGGGCTTGTGTGATGAGCCAGAGCTGGTGGCTCTGTTGGTGGGTGACTGGATCATGAGCATGCTAACCCCATCCACTGATGGGTGGACTGGGCTACTCATAGGTGGGGCCTGGCTGGAGGAATCAAGTCGCTGGTGGTGCTTTCAGTTGTCCTGAGGAGAATGGCTTCCTTCTAATCTGTACTCCCTGCTCTGATGTTCTGCATCACCAGAGCCACGTAACCCCCAGAACAGTGATTCAAAACAAAGCTTCCGTCCTTTAAGTTGATTTTGTCTAGTATTTCCTCACTGCACTGGATAGCTACTAACATATCCTGTGAGCTAATGAAAGAATGAATATTGGACATCACATTAACACCCCTCCCCTGCCTAAATTTAAACCAAATGTTTTACAGGAAAAGAAAAAAAAAAGGTAACACATCATGCTCCCTGAGGAGCTGGCTTTGGTATCCGTGGGGTTGCTGCTGTGTTTTGAGCTCTTTAAAATCCAGACATGGTCTAGCAAGGTCCTGAGTTCAAACTTTAATACTACAAGAAAGAACAACAGCAAAACTAGAAACATCCAGAGATGGAACACAGGTAGGCAGATTGAAAGGGGGCATCCCAGGAGAGCCTGGATGAATCATTCATATTCATAGCACAGATCTTTTGTTCCTAGGCTTTTTAACTATGAGGTCTTTTCCCTATCTTAGCTCCAACCTTTGCCTCTACTGAGCCAGATGGACTTGTGGGAAGCGGGGTATTAGCAGTACTGTGAGTTTT